CCATAGCAACTGATAGGATGAATTAAGGAGAAAGAGGATTAATTATGATTTATTAATATATATTATGTGAATAATATATTAAAAGAGAAATCATATTGTTTAATTAATATTGATCAAGAATTAATTTAGAATTAATTTTGTGGTCAAAAGACATTAATTAAATAAAAGGGACCGATACTGTAATTATAAGATAGTTACAAAGGTGGGCTTAGGGTCCATAAGGAAGCAGTGGACGAATTCTATATGAGAGTCCATATAGAAATCGTCCAAGGGGCCTTCTGGAAGGATCTTTAGGCTGCTTAAGGACTAAGCAACTGGATTAGGGTTTCCAAGTTGATAACCCGAGAAGTCTAACTATAAAAGGAACCCTTTAGGCCACCAAAATCGTCCCTAACCTTTTGAGAGAACCCTAGGACGATTTTTGTGCCTTCTCCTCTATCTCTTGTTCATCCTTATTGCTAGTGGTGTTTGTGACTCCATTAGAGGTGCAACACTTGGGGCACTAAGCTTTTAGATGTCAAGATCAAGAAGGTTTGTGATTGTTATTGCTACATAACAATCAAGGTAAGATCTAAACCCTAATCTTCTGTCAATTTCGATAATAGTATGTTAGATCTAGGGTTTATGAGCTTTGGACGATTATTGCGTGTACAATTAGACAAACTAGATCCAAAAGCTTTAGGGTTTGCATGTGCACCATAAGATTGATGTAATGCTCAAAACCCATTAAGTTTGTACCCTTTAAACGCAAAAAAATAAATAAATAAATAAAATTCCGAGGAACCATTTAAACCAATATACGAAACATTGTTGGGCTACAGTGACAATAACCCTAAATTTAAACCAAGTATATATGGAAGATAAAGGAATTGTAAAGGAATATCCATATTATCAAGAAAATTCCAACTGTAAAGAAGAGTGAGAAATCAGTAAAAGTGTACCGACGACATAATATCACCGGTAAAAATAGTAATGCGAGGCGGTTTTCATCGCCGGTAAAAGCTGCTAACTCAGCTTGTCGGCAGTAATAAGGTTACCACACCATTTGGCCTTATAAGATCGTGTTGCACTGATGTGGGATGCACTAACATATTCGTCAATTTTATTGTTTTAGATTGCTAACAGAAATAACAAATGTATTGTAGATAGACTTAATTAGTTGAAAAACTCTTTGAACTCATAATTTTTAGGTTCTAGTTTTTTTGCTAGTGTGTGTTTTCTTTTCTTTATTTATAATGGCCGAATATTTCTAAAAATAATAAAAAGTTTTTTTAATTATTCTTATTTATTCATTTATGGGTTAAAGTTGAAGTTAATTGAATAACATTATCCATCTACATTCGTTGACACCCATAAAATGAAACGACACTTTTATGGCACAAAGTGTGGTACAGGAGTAGCCTCATTCTTACATACTTAGCATAACGTTTTTTCACGTCCTCCTTCATCGCCAAAATAACTTGAAGCTCGTCCCCGGTCATATTCGACGTGTCCACCGCTAGTACTTTCATGTCGCTGTCCCTTTGTTTCTGAAGCTCTCTTTCAGAAGCAAGTTGCAAAATCTTATCCATTCTATCTTTTATACCCTTCATATCGGCCCCCATTTCTTTCAACTCATCTGAATCCGACACTTTGTCTTTGCCTTTGCTTTTTTCTTTGTTTCTTGTCGGGAAGGTGGTGAAACTGGAACGGGTTCATCTTCGTTCAGATCGAATTAAACACGAGCATCTGATGTAGTGTGGTCGGACTTAGATGTTCTGTTGCGTTTTGAACCATTGTCGATATGCTTGTCTGATGTTTTGTTGTTTTGCCATTTCTTGTTATCTTTCACAAAATTCCAAACTTCAAGAAATTTAAAAGCCTTCACGTTTTCTTTTTGATACACTTTCAGCGCTTTCTGCAAAATCACATCATCGTTTTCTCCACTTTTCCATTGACGTTTCATATAGGTATACAAATCATTAAACAACATGACTTCCTTGTTCATCTTCCCCCATTTCGAGTACACTTGATGTTTTGAACGATAGTCTCCACGGTTCATTCCTTTGTGGAACCTATGTAAAACCTGAATCCAAAAACGGTCATGCTTTTGGACTTTTCCAATCGTCGCATCTTCTGAAATATCGATCCATGATTGTACCAACACTAACACTTCTAGGGGTTCCCAACCTTTAACATGCGTCTTCTCTTTTCTTTTAGTTGCTGCTCGAGTGGGCTGAGTTTCTTCAACGAATTCCGGTTCGGAATCAGAAACGACCGTTTGTGGTTGTGCTTGTGTTTGTTGAACAAACTCAGGTTGAGACAAAAAATCAAATAGATTAAAATCTGAGTCGAGTTGTGGTAGTGGTTGTGTTGGTCGTTGTGGAAAATACGGAAACATACCATCTTAGTGGTAATACGGAGGCGAAAAAATCGGTTGATCATATGAAGGTATTGGAGTTGTTGTGTTTCTAGCGGGTGTTTTTTCGTTGGTAGGCCTTTTGGAATAAGACATTTTGAAAAAATTTGAAGAAAAGATGGTAAAATGATAAGGAATTTGAGTGAGGATTTTGTAAGAAAAAATGTATGTATATATAGGGTAAGTTTAAAAATAAAAAATTCTCAACAAAGGACCGTTGAACGGTCAAAAGCACACACCCAATTAAATCACACGACTGTTTCTCGTCACTGTGCGCCCTAAACCGCGCTTGACCGCACCCGGGGAGCGATGTTCGGCGTCCAGGTGGCAAAACCACTGTTCCAAACCGCGCTCACTCCCTCGAGTCTTACAGCCTACGAGCCTACCACACTTATGTGAGGTTTGGTGCCCTTCTATCTATGTTGCATGTGTTCTTTAAAAAAATGAATAAAATAAATCAAAAAATCTTTGATAAAGTCTCGACATTTTAGATTAGTTTACGGTTTAATTCTAATATTTATTTTTTGAATAAAAAGTCTTGGTTATCTACTTTTATGCGATAATCTGTCATTTTCTGTTGGAAAAAAAAATAGTTATTTTGTTAATTTTGGCAAAATATAAAATAATTTGGACTTTTCTATTCAAAAAATAAAAGTTATGATTAAACCTTAAACTGATCCAAAATATTAAGATATTATCGGAGATTTCCCTCGAAAAAAAAACTATAAAACACTCTTTATTTTGGAAAATGTTCTAGAAAATAACAATTTTTCAAAAAATTTCAGCAAATAATCATGTTTTTAGAAATCTTATATTTGTTATTTCATTGACGTCAAAGTAGGTCTCCATGCATAAAGGTAAAAATTACCGGTACATTCACTTTTGAACGGTAGTATTTCTAATTCTTTGTAATTGATTGTTAGCCATTTGCTAACTTGTGTTGATATAAATCATTTGGTTTTTTACTGAAAATACCATTTTCAAAGTCAAAGAACAAGTTCGAAAGTCGATGGTCACCTACGTTTTGTATTTTTTTTTTCATCACGCATGTAAAGGGAACATCATAATTTAGTTTATTCACTGGAAATACCACTTTCAAAGTCGAAGAACAAGTTCGAAAGTCATATCAGGATTTTCAAACTTGTTTTTCAGCGTGAAAGTATTAGATTATCTGCACAGCTTTTTTTTTCTGAAATGTTTTGTGCTTAGTTAATCGACATAGGAACAAAATATATGTGACAGTTTTCATAATATCTGTTTTTTTATGCTTCATAAATCATGACTGGGTTCGAAACTGTTTCGTGAACATATGAATAACACGAAAATGATGTGTTCGAATATATTTTTTCAAAATTTTGTGTTCGAAAATATTTGCTTACTTACAGTATAATGCTTTTTTTATGAAATTATAAAAAACTTGACCTATTTTTTTGTCTTTTTAGATCATCGACAAGTCTACGACACTCATTGGACCTTAAAATGTGCAACTATTATCCGATCCACTATAATGAGAATGTTGACTATCATGCAACATGCAAGAAAAACATGTAAAAAGGAAGAAAAAAATATAGTTAGTATATATATACATATAAACATAATCGAATGAACAAAATTTCAAATTTATTGACTAACTATAGACTAAAAAAAGTTCAATGATCTAAAATTCCAAAAAAAAAGAAATTCAATAACCTTTAAATAACCTTAAAAATTGACACTTCTTGTTCTAATGACCATCTTGACAAAAATGACCAAATAATGGGTATTTAGAAGTGTTTTTTAAAATGATTTATTAGCTTATTGGTTTTTTTTAAAAACCAATAAATTAAAAAGATGTTTGACAAACAACTTTATAGGAAAAAAAATTCTAAAATACGAAGAATTTGGTTTTTCCAAAAAACCAATAAACATTTGAAAAGAAATCCCAAACACACCCTAAAACCAAAAATTAGTTGACAAAATATGATTTTAACATTATTTTATCACAGAGGAGCAAAATATTTGTGTCTTTAAATCAAGTCATGAAAGCATTGAAATTAATTTTTCATTTTATAATTGTTGTTTATAAATTGAGTCTAGTTTTCTTAATTTATATGAACAATACCTAAAGTCCGTGTTCATGCTTTTGGAGTTAAACTATTGAATGATCAATCAAGTCTTCTATTTCAAATACAATTTTCTAAGACCATATTATTCGTCTGAGTCGTTAGTTTGAACGATAAAATATCAAATCATCATTTTAAATCAAAACAAAGTGATTAACTTTTCAAGACATACAATATGTCTTTTCATTACAAACAAATCAATGTTAAACTAGAAAAAACAATATTTATTTTGTTCACAGTAGAGTCATCGTATTTGTTGCTAAGTTACAAAATAATCATTCAAAAGTAGTTCATATTTGATAAGGGGTGTATTATGTAACTTTTAACAAAATTCAATCCCCAACTGATAATTACTAATTACAACATTTCTAGGGTTTCATAACAAACTAATATTAATATTCAAGAAATTAATTACGACAAACCTGATAAAATTAACACAATATCATATGTAGTTTTGAGTTTTGACCATATTAATCTAGATTGAGCCGTCCCCGCCAATATCACCACCGTCCACCACCACCTCCGCCGCCGTCCACCACCGTCAGTAGAAGTGGCCAAGCATCGTTACAACAAACTGGGCATCAAAATGCAAGCTTTTACAAAAAGCCCAATCACCATTTTCTTCGGAAGCAAGTAACTCACGTAACCTTTCACCACCACCACCTCCGCCGCCGATCACCACCACCGGAAAATGACCGACCATGGCCGCATGAAACCGGCCTTCAGAAAGCAACATTTTGAACAATGCACACAAATCATCACCATTTCTCTTGACAAGACAAGGCATTCGCCCTCTTCAAGTCAAATGACGAAAATGCCCTCGTAAACCTTCTGCCACAGCCTCCGCCGCAAGAAACTTTTTCTTCAAAATGAGAGATTTCACACAACACCCACCAACCACTATTCTCTTCAGAAGAAAAGGCAGCAGAAGCCAGAAGCTTTTTTTCATGTCAAATGACGGAAATACCCTCGCAACCTTCCACCATAACCACCACAACCTCCGCCGCCGAGACCCCAACGCCACCCTATATCGTGAAAAACACACCGAAAAATGAGAAGAAATTCTGGATTTTTTCCCAGATTCGTTTCCTCCGCGGCTTAAAAAAGGTTTTTCTGTACATTTCGATCAATATTTTATTGAGATTTCTTTGAAAAATGGGTTTTCTTTATAAAGTAATAAACAATAACTCGATAAAATCAAGGAGAAGGGAGAGAAAAACAGAGTGAGGTCGTGGAGATGGGTCTGTTTTTAAGGGCTGGTGAGATGGGTATTTTTGTCTTATCTTGAAAAGCCCACACAAGAAAGAGAACTGTGTCCAATACATATATAGAAAGTTACACTCAACCACCTTTTTCTATGAACTTTTGACATTTACCTACCCTATAACTATGGACTCAATAATGTGCAAATATATCCATCTACTTCTATTAATTTTGGTTCAACCACAAACAAGTTGTTTCATATGCTTACTAATTGATTTATTCACATAAAATATAATATTATTGCAGTTATCGTAAAAATCGGTAAAACATATATTTTATGTAGATGAATCATTTTTAACTAAAAAAATCATCTCTCCAGACAAATGATTGTGTCATTATATGTTAAAATACTCCACACATTCTAATGTTAAATTCATATGCTCAATTATAGATAATACTTTCAATATTTGGTGTGGGCATATCAATTTTTATACAAAAGTTATATGTCCAGTTCAAATGCAAATAGTAGTATAACTAAATATCATGAAATTAATCAGGGAAATTGGAACACTATATTGACAGTAATTCTTTTGTGTCTATGAAAATAACGAAAAAAACGTACATAAAATAATATATTATGTCATAAACACATCTAGCCTTGTAGTGATGCCATATAATATCAATTGAATATATTCATTGTTAAAAAAATATTGAATGGGTTAATATGATTTTACTAGCTGGACCTTAAACATTGTGCATACATTTTCCCTATGGAACATATTACATGATATGTTACAAAAAATAATCAAAATTTTATCAATAATTTAGGTTGTTTGATGTGCACAAATAATAAAATTATTCTTCTATTACTTAATTTCATATTTTTTGTTGAAATCTATTATTGTAACTCATCCGATTATAAGATAAAATCAACATACCAAGCTACAACCGGACTTGTTTGCATTTCATTCAAGTTAAAGGTCATATTTGGCATTTCTATTAACTAGAGGGACTTGTTTTCAATAGCTAGAAGAATGTTCTTTTCTCTATTTGGGAGAAGCTTTAGGTGGAGATGTTTGGCCAAAATGAAAACCTACAAGTCATTTCCCTTTCTACCCCTCCATCTCTTTGGGTAAAGTGTCATTTTACCCCCCTTCCTCGCCCCACAAGCGCAATTTTTTTGCTAGATTTGCTCCAAAGCAAACTTATTTGTCTTATGTCCTTTTTCTTTCCCTTGTTATTTTGGTCTTCTTTTTCATACCCTTCAAAAATTACAATCTTCAAAATCCCTATTTTGCCCTTTCATATAAATCACGGATAAGGACTATGTGTTTTTTATAGTTCCAAATCTTTTAGCTTTTTTACACAACAGATACAAGAATGTACACAGAAATGATAATTTGTAATAGTGATGCATAAAATAATTCCATCTTCAAATTTTCTTGAGAAAACATGGATGACTTGAGCAACAACCTCAAATCCTCAATACCTGATATGCAAATACGTATATTAAATTATTTTAAAGGGTTTTATAGTATATTATTTTTTTTCATTGATATATTATAGTAGTTACATGAGAAAAAATCGATATGTAAATGAAAAATGGTGAGACAAATCGATATGTAAACCACTAAATGAAAATTGGACACAAAATAAGATGTTACATTAATTTGGATACAACCTGAAATTTAACATTTTGCTATATTTAGTAGGACAAATTGAATAGAAATTATTATTTTTTTCATTTTTAAAAATTTAGTGGTTTTTTTTTTGTTGAACAGTTGGATTATAAAATAAAAGTGTTAGAAAAGCTATCAAAAACCAATTACAAAGTTAAACACATAATTGGATTTTTTTAACCAAGAAACCCAACTAAGAATTATTTTATTACTTTTATACATGATCCACGACCAACTTTGAATTATATCAAACAACACATTTGTTGTTATTCTTTTATCACCAAAAAGGATTTATTACGATATCTCCAGATCACCAATAATAACGACATATTGCTAAAATCCAAAATGAGCATTTTAGAAGTCTGAGTATTGGCAAAAACAACTAATAGTTAAAGTTAAAAGTTATAGTTTTTATTCGTATATATGTTTTCTGTAAAAATAGTTATAAGTTTTTGAAATGTGTAAAATGAAATAAAACATAAAGCAAAAACTCTTGATGCAATTTTTGGATTGGAGTTTTTGTTTATAGTGAAAAAACAAACCTTAGAAAAACTCAACATATTTTAATCTAATTCTAAAAAACAATTATATTATTTTTATAATGCTTTAAACACTTTATTTTTTTGAAATTCTCTTAATTTAAGACTTTGAAACTGATAAATCATACACAATCACAAATGATAGGTAACCAACTATTAATGGTTTGCTAATTACAATCCCTTAAATTAAAAAATCTCAGAATATATAGAGGTTTAATGTACTTTGAAAAATATTATATTTGTTTTTTAATAGTTGAATGAAAATATGTTAGTTTTTTTATGTCAATAAAACTTAAATAGATTTTCCAGAAAACATAGGGGTTTCAATGCATTAAAAAATTTATAATTAATTATCTTTTAAGAATTAAATTAAAATATGTTTGATTTTTTTATGTTTGCCCAAATTAAAAGTATTATGTTTGTATTTTCAAACAAAGTTTAGTTTTAATTCGAGTTTTTTTCTTAAATAGTAGTTGTTTGGTTGTTGTTGGTTGAGTTAGATCAGATTGATTCAATATCCTGACTAGTTAAACAAAATCTTAAATCTGACCGAGTAAAATGATCAGAGGAGTCAGAACCGAGCCAAAGACTTCTAAATGTGATATTAAACAGTCTGAATTTAATTGAGTCAGACTCAACCAATCTTTTACCAGATCCGGTAAAACGTACATAAAACAGCCCTTAAAACCTCTATAAACTGAACATACCTTCTGGGTAATTTTACCAAATGTACATAAATTATAATTATAAGAAAACTCTACTTAAAATAAATTGGCATAACACGTATTATAAATAGACTAAAGTTCCAACCTAAAACTCTCATCGAAGAGTGATACATGTTGAAAATCCGGTCAAGGGACCCATGCCTCTAATCAACGAGTCTTTAGTCCACAATTATTGGTTTGTAAGAGACTAAAAAGTGTTATCGAGGAATATTAACGATTTAACATAATAGTTTATTGAATAAGACAACAAATTCTATGTCTAATTCAAAAGACAGAAATACCCTTGACCATGAAAGAGTGTTTTTACATGACCTAACATACGTCCTCGGTTGGATGGAGTTGTGGGGTTGCCCAAGTTGCAGTTTGTAAGTATAAAAGAAAGGTACAAATCCAACAGCATAAAGTACAAACATAAATATATATATACATAAAGTACAATATAATATTAGCATCATTACATGAATCTATGGATTATATTTTATATTTTGACTCTCGGTCAAATATGATTAAATTTTTGTAGGGTCATTTCTGACATTTGGGTCCCGCCCTATCAAAAAAAGGTGTGGAGTTTGCATCGATATAGTTAATTTAAATTATCTTAAGTTAATCATAATATCTATGTTGTGCTTGGGTATTTTACTAAAGTTGTTTCTAATCATATTTTTATATAATCTTTTCAATGATATCTAGTAAACCAAGTTTGGCATGTCACTATAAAACCCCTCTGTTTTGGACTTTGAAAAAATAAACATAACTATCGCGAACTTATAGAAATGTATACATTTTAGAAATAGTTATAAAGATTCAATTGTCTTTATGAAATAAAGTTTCCAATGGATTCATCGAGTCGCATTTTTCCAAGCATGTATTATAGTTTTGCTAGTTCTCAGTGTACAGTCATATGCTACTCGAAATGTGATTCTTGAGGTCCTTCAAATTGATGGGCATTCATTATAATATTGATTTGATTGTGTTTCCATACATACAATAACACATGAGTGTTATGCACACCCTTTCATAATTATTATATGTGTTTTACATGAAGGCTAACATAGAAAAAGACAAACATACAGCTTATAATAGCTTATAATGATCTTTGAACAATAGGGGAAATAAGGAAAAATCCTTAATGCTTCAAAAGAAGTCAAATAAACAACATTGAAAAGTAAGACATCCTATTGTAGTTAAATAAAGATCGAGCAAGACAAACTAGAGAATATGATATTTTTAAAATCAAGAAAATTTTTTCTACGATTGGTCATGTGGTTTGGTTTGCAAAAAGTCGTATGGCAACTGTAAAAAATAGAAGGTGTGGAGTATGCTTCTCCTTTGCTTACTTTCCAATCGAAATTCGATCCCTTGGGTGTTTTTAAAAAATGTTTGTTTGGGAAGCAGTCGCACGACTATGTTGACAAAAAAGTGCTCGAGCTACTCTCCCATTATTTTCAACGCTCTTAAATGGGAGAACTGCCTTCAACCTTAATTGGTAAAGAAAGGATCTAGTCTCAACTCCTTATATCTTTGATGAAAATTATAATGAAGATAATATTAGTGGGGGATTTCGCTATTGGAGGTTCATGTATGTGACACATTTAAAACAAATTAAAATGGGTGAATTCAGTTGCTCATAACTCAAAGATTGATGCAATTAAAAAGGGGTGATAATTACAAATTGGATTCTTCTTTTCTTAAAGATGACAAGGTTCTTGTTGAAGATTGGATTTAGGATTGTAAAGAAATGGCATGTAATAATCATAAAAAATGAAGTTACCTATTAAGTCGTTCAAATTATGAACATTGTAGATTTTAAAGAAGATGCTATAGAAGTTGGGTCGCGTGCTTCTGGGCCTATTACCAAATATGGGCTTCATTTACTTGGTTACTTGTGTGGTTCAGGTCATCGATTGATTAAAACAATGGAAAATTACTAATCTAGCCATAATTGTTAATGACTTATTAAAAAATAGACAAAAAATGAGTTTTAGCCAAAAATAGTCCACCAAATAGTAGTCAACATACAATTGACTGCGGTCAACGTGCGTTGACTACTCTTTTTCTAGAAATCTACTATTTCGTGGTAATGGACTACTGTTTTCACGGCCCGTTTACTTTTTCGTGGCTCATTAGCCCAAAGTATATAATGGTTAATTTTTCAGATTAGGTTATTTTTCACTATTGGTTTTTTTGGTTTGCCTACTATTTTCTCTCAATTGAGCACCCGAAGAACAACCAGATTTGTCTACTTTTCATCAAAATTTTACCGTGTTCGTGATTAGGAGTAGGTTTTTTATATGAGGTTAAGTTTTTATTTGAAAAAACTCGAAAAAAATAGCGAAACCGTAGTATAATTTCATGATTTTTTTTTAACTCAAAAAAAAATAGCGAAACCGTAGGTTTTTTTGAAACCTACGGTGTACAAGCATTTAATGCATAGTTTGTGCAGTAAAAGGTTGTACACCGTAGGTTTCCAAAAAACCTACGGTTTTATTTTTTTTTCCGTTTTTTTTTAATTTATAACCAATAAATAAACATTTGTATATTTTGTTGATGCTGTGATTTTTTTTTGAAAAAAAATAAATAAATAAAACTGTAGCTTTTTTGACAAAAAAGTAGATTAAACCCCAAAACAGTAAACTTTAAAAATAAAAAAATTAAAAAAAATTAAAAAAATTAAAAAAAAACGTATTTTTTTCCCAAAACCGTAGGCTACGGTTTGGGAAACCGTAGCAAAACCGAGACGAAACCGTAGGTTTTAAAAAACCTACGGTTTTGTATTTTAGAAATGAAAAAAAAATTATGCAAAACACGAAACAGTAGACGAATATAGAAACCTACGGTTTCGTGGGCTATATTTGGACATTTACTAATTTTTGGCTAAAAATTGCTAATCACTTACTTAATTTGGCTAGATTAGTAATTGCCCCTTAAAACAATAACACGAAATCATAAATGCAATGAAATTTAAAATGATTTATTAAAACTAATCCCCAATACGCCTCTTATTTGAATCAAGTAAATTAACCACATTAAATAATCATATGGGGTAATCTCTTTTTAGATAATGATCAACAATGACGATCATTTGGTGTAGAAACGTGTGATCAAAAGTGTTGATAACCTCTATTGGTATCCATATGAGAAAACACATTGGATGCTAGTCCTTAAATCACCAAGAAAACCCAAAACCTTGATATTCTTAATTGTTTGAAGAAAATTGCCAAAAGGTTTTTTTTCGGGAGGTTCTATATGTTGACCAAAGAGGAGTGGAGGAGGCACAATTAGGGTTTCTCTTAAGTTACCATAAACCCTAATAAAGATTCCCTATATAGTAATCTCAAAAGCGTATTATAGTTGCTAGTATAGAAATATTCAAAAATTATCACCTAAATATATTATATGTAGTACAAGTGATGGAAGATCTAAACAATCAAAAACTTAATATAGTTTTTTTTCAATAAGATGTCTATAATATGTTGTACTTTTCTGTATTTTGTTCAAATACAAAATACAAAATACAAAAGACATAATATCCCTAAAGCAAAAAAGATCAGACTCACAGTTAATAAATTGTTCCTTGTTTTTGGTCTAACATCTCTACATGATATGACATACTGTGGCCACAACAAAAACCGAAAGAAATGTAACTATTTTACCACTATACCCTTTTCCTTGTTTATATTCCATTGTAATGATAATGAAATGGTAAAAACAAAAGCCGATATACAACATGATTTGATTAACCTTTTGTGGAATTTTTATGATTTGATTTTGATGATCTTTAAGCTAGCGGTTGTTGTTCTTCTACGCTTTGCACCCCAATCAAGAAGCTCCAATTTTGCTATCTTTTTTTTAGTCCCAAGATATCCTTGACAACTTGAAGCCCCACAATGACACTTTACTTCCGGCCCAAATTGCACAAATCTACAATATGCCAAAATCCATAAGTCTTTTATTTATGTTTAATTTAAGTCTTACTACAATTCATATCAAATAAAATATATCTGCCATGTCATGCCATGTCATATATAACATGTTTAAGATTATGATATATCATGTCATGTCATACCCAGAAAATGTAAAAGTTATAAGGTTTTTCAACAAACCATCTTCAAAATATTTGTAAGGTTTTATACAGAAAAGTCTCAAAAAAAATTCCAAAGTAATGGAACTTTTCTGAATAAAACCCAAAATAAAATAAGGACTTTTTCGCTAATTGGGGCAAAACTTTAAATAACCGAGACTTTTCTGTTAAAAGAAATTAGGACTTTATCAAAAATTTCCCCAAAATAATGAGTAAATTACACGAATGGTCCCTATGGTTTAGGGTAATTTGCACGTTTGGTCTCTAACTTATTATTTTAACTCGGAAGGTCCCTAATGTTTGTTTTTGTTACGCGTTTGGTCCCTGTCTTACCTAAAAATATTATTTTTCCCTTGATTTTTTAATTTATTTAAATAAACACACCCCAACCCCGCCCGCTCTTACCTTACCTTACCTACCACACCATTTTTCCCTATTTAAATAATAGTCTTTTTAGGTTAGACAGGGACAGACACAACAAAAACAAACAGCAGGGACCTTCCAAGTTAAAAAAATAAGTTAGGGGTCAAGCGCGCAAATTACCCCAAACCATGGGACCATTCGTGTAATTTACTCCAAAATAATAGGATTTTTATGCATAAAACTCAATATTTATTTATTTTTATTTTTTTTTGTTTTTGTATTGGTTAGCATTTCAAGTTTTGTAAATGAAATGTTTGTCTTTTTTGACATCCTTTATTACATGTCACCATTAAATGATTTACTTAAGATTATTATGCCAAAATTCAAAGGTTTTGGTTAAGAAATCTTGGGTCATTGTTATAAAAGTTTCATTATTTTGTCAAATTATGAAATATTTTTAACTTTTATTTTTTGAACAGAAACGTCCCAATGATCTAGGTTTACACAATAATCTATCATTTTCTGTTTAAAAAATAAAATAAAGATAAACATCAAAAAATAAAAACCGAAACTTTTCCATAAACAGACAAAAGACGAACAAAAACTTGAACAAAACTTCATTCTAAAAGCTTCAAAATTGTTGTAAACTTGTAATACATTATTACATAATTAATTATTTAAATCAATAATTTTAAAAAAAACATATTACCTAAACAATGTAATCTACAACACATCTAGCTTATGATATAATCAATAAGAAAAACACAAACAAAACCCAATAAAATAACTAACATAAGTCAAAGGCTCCCCGGCTTTGATAGATCTAGCAGCAAAAACACCAACACGAGTCTCCCCATCAACATCCCTAAAAAAGTCAACATAACTTAAATGTCCAAAATACCCTTTACACTAACAAAATTCACACGCTTACCATTTTTCAAGATCACAATTAGGACCACAACTATGATTTAGAAAACGAGAAGCATTTCCTTTAAAAGTAGCATCGATTGTAAAATCTTTTCGAATTTCACACATATAAAAATTCTTAATCCCCTTGTGCTTCATGTCCCAAAGCCTTTGTTCACACAACGCATCACTAATAACTAAAACAATAAATTAATAAATAATTATAACTCAAAAGTCAAAACTAATAAAATTTTATAAAACGTCACAAATAGTAATTAAAATATTACCTTCTCCTACATATTCTATAATGAATTCGCCTTTTTTTATAGGCTCAACAGCCTCAACTCCCCAACCACATCTTTCAGTCTACAAAAATTTATAAAATTATAATCATTGAACAAATTTTGAACAAAATTTGAATAAAATTTGGAAAAGTTATTTATTTGTTTAAAAAAGTACCAAAACAATTTTGATCTTTTTGTCTTTTCGGAAGGGCTTGTTTGTACACCTTTCTGAACATTTACATGCCTTTGAACAGCTTATACATTGTAGCCTGTTTATCAAATTACAAAATTTATAAACATTTTTTATTTTTTTATAAATTTCACCTTTTTTATAAAATACCTGCATACACAATCTTCAGAACAAGTGCTAGAACTACAATCAGTGCATCCAGTATTTGTATTTGTGTCATCACGTTTTTTCTTTACAAGATATATATCTAATTTTCGTTAAAGAACAATATATTATTTAAATAAAGTTAAATAATATTTATAATTTGTAATTATAATAAATAAATTGAGGATACTTCGTCTGATATGAACATATGGAGGTGGCTCCAGTTTGTTCTCCATTGTGTCTTTCAACAAGAGATCGATTTTGAATTCATCCACTGTATATGGTAAAGGTAAACGACAAAAAAGTTCCTATAATTCAACAAAATGATTTGTTAAAAGTTTATTAAATCATAATTTTGTTTGAATTAATGGAATGATAATTGATGAACAAGACTTACTTACCTCTATGCTGTTAGTGGGAACTGCAGGCTGGTTATTCAACAAGATACATCAGCCTAATCAATTGAAACGAATAATGTTTTTTTCTTTTATTGAAAAGCTAAGAATGTTAAAGATTTGTATTTGATGATGAAGGAAGAGATTGACCTTTAATGGTGGCCAATAATGTCTCCAACAGATTTTTTGGTTGTCTTTAGAATGCAACAGATGATCTGAAAATGGTGCACATTTGTCGTGTGATGCTATATGGCATCTTGAACATCGCCATAGATGGATTTTCTTTTTGCATAGAAAACATGCCTGTTGATGATTGAAAAGAATTAGATGAATGTTTTGATGATTGAAAACAGATTAAAAGAATGAGAAGAGAGGAGAATCAGTGTACATGTTGAGGACATTTGAATGGTTTTGATGATGGCGATAATCCAAGCCAGTTTTGTACACATGTCAGGTGATATGAAGCTTTACAATCACGAACAACGCACGATACCTCTTCCCCTGGGTAGATTACATTCTCACAGGTACGACATTCAGCCTGAGATGGATTGTATGAATTGTTGATCACACATTCAAAAACAAATCATTGTTTCATGTTCAGATTCCAAATCATTAAAGAGCGAATCTATAGCTACAATTAAGTTTGCTATGGAAAAAAGTGGTGGTGTTCATAGACCTGTGATGTAGTTCATCTATGAATTCGATTTTAGTTCCATAAATTTCTAAAAATAATCCAATAACTGATTCATTGCATCATAAATTTGAAGGTTCCTATGAAGATGATCGAAACTACTTGCATAAAAGAGTATTGAGATGATTTTACCAGTTTTGGTGCGCTGACAAGAAACGGGAGAAACAATTTCGATTCAGGAACCCCCAACTCGACATTCTTCGAAACCCAATCGATCCAATAATCATTCAAACTCTTTGATTCCACAGATTTATTGATCTTAACAGACCGCTCTCTGTTACTTTCGTCTTGCACTGGTAAAGAGGTTTCTGATTCTTTAGCATACTTTGGGTCACACAAAATCGCGGTTTCCCATGGCTCCTGGTCTTGAACTATTAGAACAACGAGTAAGGGGAAGCGAAGACGTGCTTACAAGGTTGCCTAAGTCAGGCATCGTTGTGATAAACATATAAACCCTAAAAAAGAAATTGGAAGATGTATGGTGTTTAAGAGATTATCATTTGGGGCAAAATGGCTATTTGGTTCAACATTTTCGTCTGATGGAGATTTTGTTGAGGGAAAAAAGAGAAAGAACAACGCGGTATTACACACACAGCTGGTGTTGTTACTGCGTGAGAGATGGAGAAAGAGAGGGATGGAAGGGATTTTGCAAGAAGATGCGTATTTTCTCGGCGGGAAGTTTGAAACTTTTGGAGAGGACATGAATTTACCAAAATCTCCATGAACATTTCTCTGGACTAAAATTCTAAATTCATTAACAAAATACTAAACTGCAATTTTGGTCCTGTTTAGCAAAAAAGTGTGGATAGAGTCCAAAAAGTTTTCAACTTGCACCAGTCCAAAACCATAAACTTTCCGTGGATTTGGTCCCTAAACAATTTAAATGACTATTTTACCCTTTTCATTTGTTTTTTATTTTTTTAAAATTCATTTTATTATTATTATTTAATTAAAAACTAAACAAAAACGCACCCACCCCACCCTCAATCTTTAACTCCTCACAGTCACTTATTCTGCATCCTCTCTTCTGCCGGCAACATAACGTCGGGGCCACTGCCTTCTATCTGGAGAGAAATCGCCAGATCCGGAGTTGAAATCAACCATGGTTTGTCAGAGTTGCTGCCTCCCACACCTCCCCCCTTCTCCTCTCCCACTTCACGGTGTTATCCCTCCCACCACCATATCCACTTCATCTCCTCCAGCCATAACTTCCCCCCAACTTCATCTCCCCTGTCGCAAACTACCACCTGGTCCATCATCAACATCTTCACCGTTTTCTCATTTTTCTGACCTAACCAGCATCATCCAACCACCAGTACAATACATCAGTTGACTGATATCTAAAACACACCAAACAATCACCTCTCAGACAAAAACCTTAAGAATACCACCATCACTAATTTCTCATCATCTCAACAGACCAACACCATCGATTGTAGAAGCATCAAAGGCAATGGAAGAAGACGATACTCAATTAGAACTCAAAAATTGGAACCCTAAAATCGAGAACTTGAACCCTAAAATCAAGAATTTAGGAAGAAGACGATACATTAATGGTGATCTTGATGTTAGTGAGGGCATCTAAATTAGAACATGAGATGAAGATAATGGTGGTTCATGGTGGCTGGTGATGTTGGGTTTGTTGATTTAGAGATGGTGAAGAGCTAGTGGTGGTCGGTGGTCCGATGAAGTAAATGTGATTATTAGATTGAAGATGATGAACGTGGATTTTGATGGTATGTATGACTCCATCCACATTTTTTTGCTAACACAGGACCAAAATTGCAGTTTAGTCTTAACAAAACATATGACAATAATTTTTTTAGTTTTTCATTAAATGACCATATTTAGAGCATATCAATCCCTAAAAAGTTTATTTATCAAAAATGGAATATGTTTCACCATAAATTGTGAATCAACGAGACATGTAGTTTAGCTAATATAACGGACCATAGTATAATCGGCTCATGGTATGTTGTCGTTATATTGTTTTACTTACTTGTAATAACTCCACAGGAATGTAAATATGGCCTTGTGAATGATTTTTTCACCATTATTTTACGAAAAAGTTCCAAATTAAAATTTGTTTATGAAAAAACATAAATTATCGGTAAAAATGACAATTTGACCCCTTTTTTCCCGGTTTATCGGTTTTCATTATTTACATGTTTCATTAAAGTCTCATTATTTTACCCTAATTTACGAATAAGTAAGTCTCAGACTAAAATTTAGTGATTGTTTGGTCATTTTCTCCATATAACATATATTTTATCGGTTTCATTGCTAATTTGGACGCATAAACATTAAATTAGTTGATAAGATGGATAGGATGGGTTATATAATGTTACATTTACTGTAAAATTTGATATCCATCTTATCGGCTCATTTATGACTATGTATCTAAGTCAGCAATGAAACCAACAAAATATGTGTTTCCAGAAAAAAAAATAGCAGAAAATGAGTTAATGTCTGATGAGATGGATATATTGGGTTACATAAGTTTAGATAGACAATTTGAAATTTCTTATAAACATAAAAATGAAGAAGTTGTTGCTAGTTTATGTAATTATTGCAGTCTTCGTTGGATGCATTTTATATTCCAAAAAATATACAATGCATCAGGATATCAAGTTTTATAGTAAACATAGCATTATATAACCCAACATATCCATTTCATCAGCTCATTTAATGACTAGGCGTCCAGGTCAGCAATGAAATCGGTAAAATGTATGTTACAGGGAGAAAATGGTCAAATCATCACTAAATTTTAGTTTGAGACTTATTTGTAAATTATGGTAAAATAATTGGACTTTAATGAAACCAGATAAGTAATGAAACCGGAAAACCAGAAAAAAAATGTTCAAATCACCATTTTTACCGGTAATTCATGTTTTTTCTTAAACAAATTTTAATTTGGGATTTTTTTCGTAAAGTATGGTAAAAGTTTAGGATTTTTCGAAGATTTCCCTAAATTTTGCAGTTATAAAATGTCATGTATGTCTAACAATTCATTTATCAATTTATGATATCTTTCTACAACAAGTTTAATTTCGAGTGTTGTTCGGTCCAAGATGACCTCGAAAGGGAAAGGATTTGCAAGGATCGTCTATAAAAACTTATTTCATTGTGAAAACAACAAATGTTATTGTTCCAATCTTAACTCGTTCATTAATGTAGTGGACAATGTTCACCTAAGATGCCTAATTGTATTTTTTAAATTATAAATGGCGCTAAATTAGACCAAAAAAAGGACTCATAAAAAAGTCGAGCAGTTCATGCTCGTGTAGAGTCTCTGTGGGAGAGATGAAATAAATGATCAAATGGACTGCTAATACTTTGAAAGAAATAAAAGAAATAGAAGTTGCTGAAAAATAATTTAATGATGTTGATGAGAAGATTTATGAACTTATTGCAGAACGGGCCGTCTTATGGATGTTATTAGAAATATATAAGGTTTCATTGTGTAACACCCTAATTTTCATTTAATTTAAATGCTTATAATTATGGGTCATATAATTAAAGTGTGAGGTTATAAATTCGAATCCTTGAATTTTAATAGTTCATTTTATAGTTCAAGACTAAGTATGGGGGAGTATGGAATTAAATTATAATTACTTGAAGGTCAAATCGATGATAGTAGGAACTATAAGGAAGTGAAATGAAAGTTGGAGACTTAAAAGTCGGAATATAGCAATGATGGGTCAATGGGGTTATTGTTTTAAACATAGGGAGTTAATGGACAAGGTTTTGGGTTGAATTAAATCAGTCACTTAATGACCATTAAACATAACCTAAAACCCTAATCACCACTTGCTTGAGAATTCCCGTTTTTGAAAACCGAGTTGCAGTTGGATCTTCACAAAATTTTACTTCTTGTTCCCAAGACATATATGAAGATTTCCACCGGATGAATTTGGATTTAGAGTTCTGGAGTGTGAGTGTAACGCCCCGATTCTCAGGTATTAAATTTTGTTATAAGATCTCTTTGAATTCAAGGTCTACTCGACGAGTCGGTTGCCTTGACTCGTCGGGTGGCAGCGGGTTGGTCCACGTGTTTAAGTGACCTACTCGCCGAGTCCGAGGAGGGACTCGACGAGTAGGAGCTGGAGGATGAAACCCTAATTTCTGGGGTTTTTCACCCTATTTAAGGGGTCATTTGGCCTCCTCAGCCTCCC